ACCTAAGGCATCTGACTGCTAACCAGAAGGCTGGAGGTTCAAACCCACCAGCCACTCCTCAGAAGGAAGACTGGGCAATCTACTTTCGTAGTGATACTGCCTCGGAAACCCAAGGAGGGGTCGCTATGAGTTGGATCTTACTCGATGACAGTGAGTTTGGTTTTTGGTACTAAAGGAGGACAGAGTCCCTGGGTGGGGCAAATGGTTCAGCTATTAGCTGAATGGCTAGTGGTTCAAATCCACCCAGATGCCTGACAAAATGTCATGGCCATTGAAAATCCTATGGAGCACAGTTCTACTCTGGCTACACGGGGTCAACATGAGTTAGAATTGACTCAATGGCAACTTGGGTTGGTTTCAAAAGCTGGACAATTTCCCAAAACAAGAAAAACAAAAATCAAATGAAGGGGCCACCTGGCAGCTGTCTAGAGAGGTCCTCAGCTTCTGGATGTTCTCTGTGATCTCCTCCTGTTTGGAGTTGCTCAGCTGGGTTTCCTTCTGCAGGACCCATTTTTTCTGCTGAAAGGTGATGCTGTCCTCAGTGACCTGGGTAATTTTATCAATTAACTGGGGAGAAAAAAAGAAAGAAAGAAAAAACAGGATTTAAAATACATGGTGGCAGAAGCCCTTGGTGGTACACTGGTTAAAATACACGGTGGCTCTGGGAGAAAGGGAACTGGAGATCCTGCACTTAAGTCCCATCTCAGCAGGCAAGGAAGTGACACATGGTGTTGATGGCTCTGAAGGAAGACATTGGCCCTGACACCAGGGGGCATATCCCAGGGTCAGAGATCATGGCTAAGAGTCAAAGGCCCGTGCTGTTGCCCTGAGTGTGTCCCAGATTCATTGGCATCGTAGCAATAATTTCTCAGGCTGAGCCCATACACAGGAGGTCAGATTCTGCTACACCTGATGAGAGCTGCCCATGGCGTGTTTTCTAATCTGTGTGTTGACGCAGAGACTTGGAAAGAATATTTGGAAGAAGGATAACGTATTGTGACAGCCTGAGGTCCATCCTTGTTACCATCTTTCCTCTTGAGAAGAAGCCAGAACACATCCAAGGCGTGAGGTGGCCTCTTTTCTCACAGTTAATGAAAGTTAAACGTGTGTGTGTGGTGACCAGAAACAGGCCTGAATGGTTTAATTTGCTTTTCACAGAAACATTTCAAGGGAGTTTAATGGGCTTTTGCTTTAAAAGCCAGGAAATCCCATAAAATCAAAACAACCCTTTATGGTGTAGCAACAGTGTGAAAAATATGTGCCACCAACAAAAACAGAAACATATGCTCCCAGGGTCTGGAATCCCAGATCCCAGAAGAAGAGAGCGAAGGAGCCATGTGGCAAGGAAGCCAGACTAACCTGTTGATCGGTGATGAGTTTGTCCTGGAATGGCTTCACTCGCCCATAGGTGGCCTTGATGACCTGGCTTCTGAAATGCTCAAGCTGCAGACAGAGGGAAGTCAACAGAGTCAGAGGCAGCTGGGGACAACAAGACTGGTGACACGTTTCCCTTGTAGGGGTCCAGAAAAAAATTGGTTAGAAGGGTCTGCCTGACTTTAATGATTACTAATGTTATTAAAATCTTTATCTCTCACTGAGAGTGGCAGTACCCACAGAAGGAAGAGAACAGTGGGTCTTAATTAATTTTTAGGCCTGCCTGCCTAACCCAACTGATGCACATGATCAGTACACACACATGTCTCAAGTCCTCAGAAGAGGCACTTGCTGCCAATTATCCAATGGGAAGTCTGTGGCCAGGAGTGCTTTTCCATAATTGCTAGGTTGGCACCAGACTGTGAAATAAATATTGAGGCTGTCAGCCCAAGTAAATTGTATAACCAGCAAGGGTGCCTGGGGATAGAATGCTCTCCCTTCTGCCATTTTGTGCCTTGGATGATAAATGGGATGAAGACTATTGACCATATTCACATCTCTGTATCCCTGGAGCCTAGTACAGTGCCCAGCACAGAGTAGGCACTCAATATGCATTCGTTGAACGCTTGTATTCAGAAACATCTGTTCAACTCAAGGTCCTTGAATTGAGTACAACTGGCTTCTGTTGAGTGTCTCCTGGGTGCTGGTGTTTTCAGATTAAGGTTGATGAAAGTGCATTATAAAGGTCAAGCAGAGCTTAGAGAATCACAAATCCAAAATGTCTCAGATTCCATCCAGAAGGCAGAGTCAGAGAAACCCATCTTTCTCTGGGATTTTACCAACATGGTGGCCTTTGACCTAGTGTGTTTGGGCCACTCACAAAATGTAGCTGTTACAGCAACTAAAACAAAGCCCTGAAGGAACCATAAGGGCCATTGAATTAAAGTAAAAGTCAATGAGCCTCAAGACCCAGGGGATTACTGCATACCAGGGAGTTCTGGAAAACCAAGTCAGTGAAATGGAAGGACAGCTTTGTAGTCATATGGTCATGAGCAGACTGGGGTGACTTGAGGCACTCCAAATTGAGGTCATCCTCTGCTTTTAGGGCCAGGTCCTAGCTTGTCCAAGGAAGAGGTTCTATAGAGGAGACCCTGTGAATGATGATCCCCGATCCACCCTGTAGGGATGAATGGGTCCCCCATCCACCCTGTAGGGATGAATAGGTCCCCCATCCACCCTGTAGGGATGAATGGTCAGGAGGGTGAGTTGATGACTCTGATGACTCATCATAGGTTCCCAAAGATGATGAGCTCAGTTCTGAAGTCATCTTCCTGGGGAAAGGGAGATCCTAGACAGGGAACAGGGCCTTGGAAATAAGGTGGGTGGCAGAGAGAAGGTTCATCCCCTCTCTTGAGTCTAGACCTGGAGGTGTCTCAGTGTCTTCCAGGATCCTTCCTGCTGGTCTTTGCCCAAAGACATAGCAAGACCTTGGCACTTGGGCACAGTACAGATCATGTCCACTGATCAGGTATGTTCGGGGAGAGACAGAATGCAGAAAGGTAAGGTGGATAGCCTAGGTGCACAACAGGAGACCCAGATTGGTAGGCTCTCTGCCTTTGATAAGGGATTGGCACCTGCAGGACCCATTGGCACTGGGCATGACGGCAGTAGACATTTTTGGAAGGGACTTTAACATCTGCACAAGAGTTAAAACCATCCTTTAACTTGTGTGTGCCTCTGAATTTCAGCATGCTGAGGCAAAGCTGGGTTGATGACTCTGATGAAAATATGGAGTGGAAGTGCCCTGGGTGTGGGCTGGGTGGAAGGAGGGAGACCCTTTCAAGATCATGGCTTGTAACCTTTGTGGGGGGCTCAGCGACCCTTCCAAGAATCCAATGAGTGACATGTAAGACCCTCATTCCCAGGAAAAAAGCACAAACACACATGCATGCCAGTTCTTCTGTGGATCCCCTGGAACCATATTGCCAGGTGAGGACCCTGGTGGAGAAGATCCAAGGGGGCTCTAGCTTGGTTTCTGGTTTAGACTTGGGTAAACCTCATTTGTAATCTTTGGCCCTCATGGCTATGCCACATGTAACAGGAAGGGCCACTGGGCCACCCTGGGGCCAGAGCATCAAAGGAGAACTGCTGCCTCCAGAGAGGCAGGTCAGAGCCTGCTCATCACTGTACCCAGGAACTTCTTCATCTGTACATCCTGGGGATTTATTTATTTATTTATTTTTTAATAAGTAGCATTTCCTAGGGACACTGACTGTGACATGTGCTGGGGGACATGTGCTTGTGGAAGAAAGTTTGTGGTAAGTGTCAGCAATAAAATGTTAAGGAGATAGGACTGGAAATGCCAGTAGGGTAAAGGAGTTCAAATCTCTCCCAAGAGGGAATGGTTGATCAGCTAATTGGGGCAGGCATTGAGCCAGGACTGGCTGCCTGGTCAGGGTCTTGGGCCATGGCCAACAATTAGGTGGGAAGCTTCCCAACAGAAAAAAAAAAATCTATTTAGTGATGTCTGCTGGGATGCAGAAGCCACATCAAGCCTCTGCGTGTGAGATGAATGGGAGAATGAAACCATGTCCTACCTTAGGCCAGCCCCTCCTCATTCTCCCCCAGCAGCCTGGGTGCAGAAAATCAATGGGAAACTTGGGCCCCTGAAGGGGCTCTGGTGCACGCCTACCTGACCTACTGCCCTTTCCAAATTGACTTTAATGAGGTTCTCTCTGTTCCCCATTTCTTGCAGATGAAGCAATTTCCTTCTGGAATCCTCCTGAAGTTTCTCTTCAACCTGAAATGATGATGAAAGGATGTGCTTGCTGCTAATGCCATCATAATGCACCCTGGGGAAATGCCTCTAAGAGGGTTAATGGCTGTGGGGGAGTCCCAGAGAAATAGGGACAGCTGCAGCCTGTGTGTTGGGGTCACAGGGATGCATGGGGGGCCAGTGAGGCAGGCTTACAAGGAGCCACCCCCCTGGGGAAAAGGTCAAGCTCTGCACCCTGAGCTCAACTATGTTTATTCTACCCCAGGTTCCCAACAAGCCACTTGGCCTTGGGAAAGCTCCATGCCTCAGTGTCCTTATCTGTCAAATGGGTATGATGATAATAGTGCCCATCTCACAGAGTTATTTAATCTCTCACAAGAATTAAGGTGTTTAGACTAGTGCTAGAACTCAGTAAAGATATAATTGTGTTAGGTATTTTTGTAACTCATAAAATGTGGATGAGAATACCTGCCATGTAGCATCATTCTAATGCCATAAGGAACTCACCCAGCACAGGACTGGCCCGTAGTGGGTAGCTGGTAAATGTTATTATTGGGTTGTGTTCATTACTATTTGTCATTACTACTATTATCACATCCATCAATGGAAACTTCTCTGGAGGCCTTTCTAAGCAACAGCTATTAAAGATTTGCAGCATGCAAAAGAAGGTATTTAAACTGAGGAAACTTGCCTGTTTACTGTTGGCTTGCTTAATAGTCAAGTCAAGGTGAGTTTGGGAGTGTTCGATGCTACCCTCTGCTGGCCACGACAAGCCCTGCAGCTCTTGTTTGTGTGCTGCGGGCACAGGCTTGCTGGATTCATTTTTGACCAACAAAACATTGATCCAGCACCTGCTGAGTCCAGGGCTCTGACATTATCAGGAAATGAGGCAAGCTCTTCTGAGTGAAAGGAGTTCATGTTGAAACAACTTCATAAGCTGTTTATTAGGGGCTGAAGGGGGATTCAAAACCAAATCATCGTCAAGTTGATTCTGACTCATAGAGACCCTATGGGACAGAGTAGAACTGCCAATAGGGTTACCAAGTCTGTAAGTCTTTATGGGAGCAGACTGCCATATCTTTCTTCTGAAGAGCAGCTGATAAGTTCGAACCACTGACCTTTTGGTTAGCAGATGAGTGATTTAAGCACTGCATCACCAGGGCTCCGTGAAGAGGATCACATAGATGTTATTAAAAACCCAGCAAAACCTTTTAGAGCTTGCTTTTCTGGGCAGTGTGGTATAGTGGAAAGAGCCCTTAATAATCTATGTTACCCCGGGAAAGCCATGTAACTTCCAGAGCTTTGGTTTCCTCACTGCACAATCCTTCCAGGTCTAAATATGCTCCTGATTTACACTTCTGCATACTTTTTCATAGGCTTCAAATGCAAAGTCTAAGACTGGACTTTGCTCTTATCTCAATGAATGGGCTCTTCATTCCCTAGTCCCTAGTCCTCAGCATCATCTTTAGCTGTCTTCCCTGTTCCATCTCTCACATCTGAGGCCTGCCAGTACTATTCCTCTCACATCCACTCCATTCCCAGTACCACAGCCACAGAGCAGGCCCTTGTCATTGCATGCAGTTATCAGAGACCAATGAGCTCTTACCCTGTCCAAGCTCCAGCCAGGCCCTACGGACCTTCGGCCTGTGATAAAGGGCCTCCTTGCCTCTAATTCATTTCTTTCCAGTACATTCATCATGCTACTGTGGGAGCTGTCAGCTACGGAGCAGCATTGTCTGATTGAGCTTTCTGTAATGATGAAATGTTCTGTATACACAGTGTCCAATATGGCAGCCACTAGCCATTTGTGGCTATTGAGTATGTGGAATGTGACTGGTGTAAATGAAGAACTGATTTTTAAATTTTATTTCATTTTAATTAATTACAATTCAAATAGTGACATGTAGTTAGCGGCTATTTCATGTCATCAGAGTCAGACAAACCTGGCTTCCAATCTTGGCTTCAGCACTTACTAAGCTTGTGTGACTTTGGGTTACTTTACTCTCTGAGCCTTGATTTCCTCATCTGTAAAGTGGGAATGATAATTTCCAGATCATAGAGTTGATGTGAAAATAAAAGAGATTAAATGTTTGGCATAATGCCTAGTATATGAGAACTGTAGCTATTGTTTTAACCACCATCATTAATCACAACTTTAATCTTATCAGTCCTCTGTTCAAAAGCCTTCATTTGTTCTCCCTATTGCTGATATGGTTTACAGTTCAGACTTCAAAACCAATGAAAAAAATACAAGCCAAAGATTTAAGAAGGCTACAGGAACCTAACACAAGATAACTAAAAGTAAATCCACACCTAGATAAATTATAATAAAACTGCTGAAAGCCAAAGGAAAAGACAATCTTACAAGTGGCCAGAGCTGAAAGACAGATTACACAAAGGTTCAACAGATTATAGCAGACTTCTCAACAGAAACAATGGGAGCAAAAAGACAATGGCATGATATATGATTTTTATAATGAGCTGAAAGAAAATAATTGCCAGTGTAGAATTCAATACTTAGTCTAAATACATTTTAAGAATTAAGATTAAATATAGACATTTTCAGACACACACACATACAAATCTGAGAGAATTTTTTTTTTTTTTTTTTATCAGCAGAGCCACATTGGAAAAAAAAAATACTACAGGGTGTTCTTCAGGTGGAAGAAAAATGATACCAAAAAGAGATGATCAGATGTGCAGAAGAGACATGCAACAGAAAGTGTAATGTCTAGATACATATAAATGAATATTGATCACATAAAAATATTAATAATGCTTTTGGAGTTTTAAATATAGAGAGATATTTAGAAAATAACAGCAGTGGCATCTAATAAGTTCAGAGAGGTGTAAATGAAGTAAAAGTGTTCCCAGGTCATTGCATTGTTAAGGAGGAGAACATAAATATCAACTAATATTGGATTTTGGTAAGTCAAGAATGCGTGTTACAGTCTTTAGAATAGTCATGAAGAGAATAGTAAAAGAGAAAAACTCAATTAATATTGGATTTTGGTAAGTCAAGAGTGCATGATATTGTCTTATTATCACTAAAGTAATAGTAAACAAGTGAAAAAAATCCCAAGCTTGTAGAGAGAAAAATTGAAGGATAGAAAACCATCAATTACTTTAAAAGGAGGCAAGAAAGGAGATAAAAAAGAACATAGTACAAGTGGTACAACTGGCATTGAGCCAGAAGGTAAATTTAAACCCCAATATATCACCAGTTACACTACATATAAATTTATATGCACCTAGCAGCATAGTCTCAAGTTATATAAGGCAATAGTTGACAATGCTCAAAGAAGAAACATACAAATGTACAGTCATGATGGGATTTTTAAAAACATACTTCTCTCAATGTCTGATAGAACACACAGACACAAATCACTACAAACATGTAGGTTTTGAACAACATCACTGGCAAACTTGATTTAATGGATATACATGGAATACTGTACCAAACTACTGCAATACAAATTCTTTTTTTTAAAAGTGCATCCATGGAACATGTACCAAATTTGACCACATGGATAATCATAAGGGAAGTCTCACCAATTGTCAATAAATTGAAGTCACACAGATGTTCTCTGACCACAGTGCAATTAAGCAAGAAACCAACAACAAAAAGGTAACCTGAAACACCTCATATATTTAGAAATTAAGTAATAACTTTTAAATAGTCCATAGATCAAAGAATAAATTGCAATGGGACTTGAAAAATATTTGATCTAAATAATAATGAAAATATTATATACTAAAACTTGAGGAATGCAGCTAAAGACTTGTTTAGAGGAAAAGGTGTAGCCCAGAAAGCAGTTTGAGTCCATGATCATGACTACAACTATTTTAATTAAAAATACAACAAGGTAAATTAATTTTCATTGAGAAAGTATATTTTTCAGAGTGAAACTTAATAAATGAATGGTTTGAGAGACTTCCAAATGTTCCCCCCCCCCCTTTTTTTTTTATTTTTTTCTGCGATTACTTTTCTCTGTATCAATTCTTTACTGGGTAAATTACAATTAAGGTTTTATTGACCTCTACATTTTTCTGGCACATATTAATTTTTGCCAATCATAGCTCTGTCATTGTACATGTTATTTTGTGGTCCTCATTTCTACCAATCCACTTTTCCCCAGATTATATTTTGCACAACTACATTTTTTCAAGAATATTTTACTGTTCTCTAAGTTTTACTCAATGACAAATTTTACCTTGTGTAGTTTTAGCTGTTGGTGTTGTTTTATTTTAATGATTTTCGCCAAATCTACTTAAGCTTTTGTGTCATTATCAAAATCATCAATAAGATGTGATTTTCAGACAGTTTCTTGTCTATGACAAATTTTAGCTTGTGATGTTTTAATGGTCAGTTTTATCTTCTGGTTAATATTCTACTAATTATATTAAAAATTGGAGAAAACACTGGCTTATTTGCCTTTATATCTCAGGTCATCGATGAACACTTCCCCTTCAGATAGGATGCCTTTGATACCTACATTTGACCTTAAAACAGTCTCAGTTTTCTCAATGATGGCAGTCTTCTTTTCAATAAAGTCAAGGATCCAAGTTGAAAGAATATAGATTCTTCCCACTACCCTCCTATGGGCCCTTAAAGATAATTTCAGTTTAAATGTTTAGAAAATGTGATACACAACATATATTTTTTTTTATCTCCTCAACTGGCCATATTGCCAAAAGAGGTTGGAGCAGTAGAACTTTCTAGAATAGTGGAAATCTTATCTGCACTATGCAATACAGTAACCAGTAGTCCCATGTGCCTATTGAGCATATGGGAGGAACGTGGCTAGTACAACTGAGGAGATTAATTTTAAATTGTATATATTTTTATTTCATTTTAATTTCAATAGCACATGTGACTAATGGGTACAGTCTCTAGAGTGGTAGTGGTTACACACAGAGTTGTGGAGTCACAGACCTGTGTTCAAGTTCTGCCACAACTACTTTATCTGAGTGAATTTGAATAACTTCCTTTGTCTCTGTGAGCCTCAGTTTTCTCAGCTGTGAAGTAGGGTTAATAATAGAAAGGCCCACACGGGTCGTTGTGAGTATCAGTGGATATGATACATGTGAAGCACCTGGCCCAGAGCAGTCAGTGGGCCACGGCTGTTCTGCCTGTACCTTGCTCTTTTCTCGCAGTGTCTTGGAGATCACGTTTTGTTCAGTGCAACTCTTCTTCAGCTCTTCCTTGAGTTTCTTCATTTCTTGCTCCATGTCTTGAATTTGCTGAAAGAGTTTCAACAACAGTCAACTTTCCTCATGAGAAACAGGAGCAAGGCTAGAGGCCTGATTGCTTAGAACCTGTTTTATTGGGTTCATTAAGGTAGACACCTCATCTGATATTGCTATGTGCCATCAAGATGATTTCAACTCACAGTGACCCCATGGGATAGAGGAGAATGGCCTTATAGGGTTTTCTAGGCTGTACTCTTCATGGGAAGGAGCTCTGGTGGTGCAGTATTTAAAGCATTCGGCTGCTAACCAAAAGGTTGCTGGTTCGAACCCCCCAACCCACTGTCAGCTCTGTGGGAGAAAGATGAGGCAGTCTTCTTCCATAAAAATTTACGGCCTTGGAGGCCCTATGGGGCAGTTCTACTCTGTCCTATAGGGTCACTACGAGTCAGAATCAACTTGATGGCAGTGGGTTTACTCTTGATGGAAACAGACTGTCGGGTCTTTTTGTTTAGCGGCTGAGTGCTTACCTTTGCACCACCAGGGCCCTGTAGTCTGTTATTAGCTTATTTAATTCCCTCCCTTGGGTAACATTTTACATCATTAAGGCAAAGCAGACTTTTTCAATTGATTATTCTAGATAAAGGAAAATAATTAGTTTCCTTGAAAATTAGCCAAGATTCTGGATTAAACACAAGATATCCATCAACTCATTGGAACCCTTATTCTTGTGGTATAAGTGTAATTTTTTTTTTTTTTAACTGTGGTTTGGGTGAAAGTTTACAGAGCAAATTTGTTTTCAGTCCAATGATTTATACACATTTTGTTTTGTGACATTAGTTGTCACCCCCCAATGTAACAGCACCCCACCCACTTCCCCCCTGGGTTCTTTGTGTCCATTTATCCTTCTTCCCTGCCCCCTCCTGCTTCTGAAATCTGCCCTTTTGGTCTCAGGTGGTTGATTTGTGGTATGTTTCTGAGATCAGTCTAAATAAGGGCAAACTGTGTAGAAGACATAATGGGCACAGTTTGGAAGAACAGAACAATGAACTGAAATTTTTTTCCTTTTTTTTTTTTTTTTTTTTCATCTGCGGCAGAGAACAGGAAGGTTCCTGACATGGAAGAGAGCAGGTCTCCTCCCCCAGCTCATGCCTGGGGCACTGTGCTTTCCAAGGAAGGGAACAGACATCTGGAGCATCTAGGGCGTAGGGAATAAGCACTTCAATTCCAAAGATCCTATTTTCATTAATTTTTATGGTTGCCTTCTATATTAAGCAAATGTTTTTTAAAGTTGTTACTTTATTTATTTGTTATTTTTTTTAGAATTGATATAAAGTTGATGCATTTAAATAAAAATATATGAATGGACTTAAATAAGAACATTATGTCAATATTAGTGCACATATAATGGTTTCTGTTTGGGATGACAAAAAAGTTTTGAAAATGGGTAGTGGTGATGGCTGCCCAATATTGTTAATGTAATTAATAATATGAACATTATATACTTAAAAATGGTTAAAATGGCAAATTGTGTTATATATATTTGACCACATACATAACTTTTTTTAGCTAAAAAAGACAAAATAATAGTGTAGGTGGCTACGACAAACTTGTGACAGAGGAACATAAGAGTGTGGGGATTACAAGTCCAGGGGCAGGGCACCAGCATGAAAGTCTAGCAGCACATGGTGACCAGCTGTCTAGCCTCTGACCCGGCCTCAGCCTCAGCCCAGCCTCAGGGCAACTTGGTCAGGGGGCTAGAGCCAATTGCCCAGAGAATCCTAGGAGGGTGTGTTTTTTTTTTTTTTCTTCATTCATCTCCTCCTTGAGGCTACAGGCATCAAAGAGTTATAGGCATACCTTGTTTTATTGTACGTTGCTTTACTGCATTTCATAGATATTGCATTTTCTTGTTTTACATATTAAACGTTTGTGGCAGCTCTGCATGGAACAAGTTTGTTGGTGCCGTTTTACCAACAGCATATGCTCATTTCATGTCTCTGTGTCACATTTTGGTAATTCTCATAATATTTCAAACTTTTTCATAATGCTGTTGTACACTTGGGAGCTCTGGTGGTGTAGTGCCTAAGGAAGGCATTGATGGCTAACCAGAAGGCTGGTGGTTCAAACCCACCAGCCACTCCTCGGAAGGAAGATTGGGCAATCTGCTTTCATAGATTACACCCAAAAACCCAAGGTGGGATCGCTATGAGTCGAATCCTACTGACGGCAGTGGGTTTTATTATTATTATTATTATTATTGCACACTTAATAGACTACAATATAGTTTAAGCTAACTTTTACATGCACTGGGAAACCAAAAACTCCATGTGACTCACTTTATTGTGATGCTAGCTTTATTGTGGTAGTAGTATCTCTGAGGTATGCCTGTACAAGGTTACATAAACAGACAACTCCAGAGATCTGTGCTCTCCAATGGGCCAAGCATCCCAGGGATGACTCCCAGGGTCTAATTCTAGATCTTCTGTGGACACCTATGAATAAGGAAGTTCAACTCACCGTTTTGCATTGTTTTAGTTCTTTCTCTTGGGCTTCCTTATGTTCCTTTTGAGTTTCTTCCTTTTTTAACTCTTCTCGAAGTGCTGAGCACTACAGAGAGAAAACACAACCAAGAAAGAGACCAAAATTAGCCCCATGGGGTTGTCTGAGGTTTCCATGTTTGCCCCTGAGAGAATTGCCTGCTGCTTCATCTAACCACACACCCAAATTTGGAAAGGTCGGGCCATTTGTGCCTAATGGGCACAATGGATCCCACAGCAGGTCCTAGTTCATCCCTCTCATGAGTTATGAGGAATAAATCATCTAAATTTTTCCTTCAAGGCCAGCAACCACAAGAAAGTCCAGCTTTGTAGAGTCTGGATACTTAGGGTAGAGGAATTGGGGTTCCTTTCTCTGCGGTCATCAGATAGTGGTTTTCAGGCATATATGCTGAAGCCCTCCGTGGAGTCATTACATGAACTTGGAAGGTTCTTTGTTGTTGTTAGGTGCCATTGAGTCACTTTTGACACACAGTGACAGAAGGAAACACTGCCCGATCCTGCATCATCCTCATAATGCTATGTTTCAACCCATTGTTGCAGCCACTGTGTCAATCCATCTCATTGAGGGTGTACCTTTTTTTCACTGACCCTCTACCAAGCATGATGTCCTTCTCCAGGGACTGGTTCCTCCTAATAACATGTCCCAAAGTCCACGAGACGAAGTCTCATCATCCTCCCTTCTAGGGAGCATTCTGGCTGTACTTCTTCTAAGACAGATGGGTTCATTCTCCTGGCTGTCCATGGTATATTTCATATTCTTCACCAACAGGAAGGTTCATAACACTTTATAAAGACATAATTGCCCTGTTCTTGGGAGCGTAAGGGGAACACTCTTTTTGGAGGAGGCATTAAGAGCATGAATATACGTACTATTTTTGACCCTGAAATTCTACTTTAGGAATGTATCCTAAGGACAATGACTGGAGAAATAAGAAAATCTCTAGATTCAAGGATGCTCTTCATGGCATGGTTAACAAAAACAAAAATAAAAACGGATATAACCTAAGAGGCCAATAAGAGAGGACTGCTTTATTACACTGTGTACATATAAAAGAATATCACATAGCATATAAAATCAATGATATAAGTGCTTATATTTAACCTTTTTTATTTAACATAGAAAAACAGTATTTCAAGTTTTTAAAAAATGTGTAATATAAATTAATTTTGTTATGCACGTACACACACACACACACACACCCCAAACCAAACCCATTGCCGTGAAGTTGATTCTGACTCATAGTGACCCTCATTGATTTTCCAACGCTGTAAATCTTTACAGAAGTAAATTGCCTCATCTTCCTTCCATGAAGCTGATGGTGGGTTTGAGCTGCTGACGTTTTGGTTAGCAGCCAAATGCCTTATCCACTATGCCACCAGAGCTCTCTCTTTCTCTCTACACATACACACATGCATGTATTTCTAGGTAATATAAAGAAACAAGACTGGAAGAAAATAAAATACTAACATTGATTTCTTGGGATGGCTTTTCTTTTCTTCTCTTTTTAATTTTGTTTTTCAGTATTATCTAGGTACTTTTCTAAAAGGAACACATAGCATATGTAGTTTTTTAAAAGGAGAGGCATTTCAGATGTTCACAACAGCAATATTCTTGGTCACATGTTGTTGGCAGGCATGAGCTAGAGAAGAAGGGCCTCTGTTCAAGGTCAACGAGGAAGAGGAAATGGGCAGGAAAATAACCCCAAATGTACTTTGGAAGTTGTGATATGTGTCAACTTGGCTGGGCCTGGTTGAGTGGCTGGGCAGCTGATGGTGGTTATTCTCCATGTTAAGATTGGCAATCAACTCCATGGTGGGATCTACCACAAGCAGCTGAGTAGCTGCCTTTGGGATGTGGTCTGTTTCCTGTGTATAAGGAGAAGCTTTGAGAATTGTCTCTAGCCTATGGGATACTTGGACCCTGCATATAGCTGTGTTGTTGCTCAGCAGCCTGCTATGTTCTGCCGACCTTGGGACTTACAATGGACTTAAGTTAACGGCCTGCTGTGTGGTTTGGTAACATCAGGACTGTGCCTTTTTACTTGTCAACCTTGAGGCTTCTCAGCCTCAGCAGCCAGCAGCTGTCTGAGGAAATGCCTCTAGCTCCAGTGGGCCGGAAGCAGGAGGCGGAGCTGGACCCCAAGGTTGAGGAGCTTTCACCTAGCTCCTAAAGCCTGGCACTTTGAACTTGGACTTAAAGCCTCCAAATTGTAAGAATAAACTCCTGTTTGTTCAGCCATCCCATATGTGGTATATTCTTGTCAGAGTGGCACTTAGGCAACCAGAACAGAGGTAGACCAACAAATAGGTACCATTTCCCACATTTATCCTAGGGAGCTCTGGTAGCATAGTGCCTAAGGTGCTTGACTACCAACCAGAAGGCTGGCAGTTCAAATCCACCAGCCACTCCTCGGAAGGAAGATGAGGCAATCTACTTCCGTAGTGATACTGCCTTGGAAACCCAAGGAGGGGTCGCTATGAGTTGGGTCCAACTCGACGGCACATAACAACAACAACAACAACAAGAAGCATCAGCTCTACAACCTACCTCCCTCCCCAACACACATACTCACACACATACACACACACCATGAAACAGCAATCACATGTGCCTAGGAAGTCAATGTTCTGGGGAGAAATGAATGCAGAGAGCTTGGGGGAGGGACTGAGTAGGAGCAGAGGCGGAAGGGCACAATTAAAATCATTCTCCCATGTCTCAGAAATTGTTTTTTAATCCTCATTTCACAGATAAGGAAGTTGAGGCCAAATAACTTACAATGAAGGAAGGCTCTGGGATTGGACCCTGGTTCTTCTGATTTCAGTTTGTGCTCTGCCTTTTGCCATTTCCAAACTGGGTATTGTAATTATCGTCAGATATTATTTCTGTCTTTTTCTTGGAACCTCAGATCTGTAAGTAATAACATGAGTCCAACTGTTCCACACCCAGCACCTGTGCAGACACACCTCCTTGATCAGACAGCACTGTGGACTCTGAGTTGTCACTCTAGATGAAAGCAGTTGGGTTTTATCTTGACTCATCAAAACAGACAAATCTTATACTAAAGGATTGTTTTTATTAGGTGTCTTTGAGTCGTTTCTGACTCACAGCAACCCTATGGACAGCTGAACGAAACCCTGCCCAGTCCTGTGCCAGCTCCATGATCTCTGCTATATACCCGAGCCCATTGCTGCAGCCATTGTATCAATCCATCTCGTTGAGGGCCTTCCCTTTTCTCGTTGACCCTCCACCCTACCAAGCATGATATCCTTCTCCAGGGAATGATCCCTTCTTACAACATGACCAAAGTAAGTGAGACCAAGTCTGGCCATTCTCACTTTCAAGGAGCATTCTGGCTGCACTTTGTCCAGGACAGGTTTGTTAGTTCTTTGAGCAGTCCATGGTACTTTCAGCATACTAATACTAAAGGATTAGAATCCTAAAGTCAGCCTTGAAAGCAAAAATTGCAAATAGTCAAAATTACACTTAAAAGCTTTTAACTTGCCTTTAAGAAGCCCTGGTGGCGTAGTGGTTAAGTCATTTGGCTGCTAACCAAAATGTCAGTGGTTCAAACCTAGCAGCTGCTCCATGCAAGAAAGATGAGGCCATCTGCTTCTGTAAAGATTTACAGCCTTAGAAATCCAATGGAGGTCAGTATGAATCGGAATCGACTCAATGACAGTGAGTTTGGTGTGTTTTGTAACTTGCTTTTGAGGTTCAGTTTACATAGAGGAATTCTTATGCTCACTAAAATCTAAGGGAAGAAGTGAAAGTCTATACATCTACATCTAGGCAATCCAAGCATTCTACTCTTAAGGTAGCCTTGGACACTCTAGTTAGTGGTGACTGGGAGACAGTGGTGAAGGTGAAGTTCTGCTTGCCCACCCACCATTGTCATTGAATTGATTCTGACTCATAGTGACCACATAGGACAGAGTAGAACTGCCCCATAGGGTTTCCAAGGCTTTAATCTTTATGGAAGTAGACTGCCTTATCTTTCTCCCACGGAGCAGCTGGTAGGTTTGAACTGCCAGCTGAATGTTTTAACCACTGTACCACCAGAGCTCCTTTGTTTGCCCACAGTGACATTCTGTTCTGTTTTATTTATTTATTTTTTTCCCTCTTTTTCTTTTTTCTTTTTAATTTTTATTATTTATTTGTTTTTTTAAATTTTGATTTGGGTGAAGATTTACAGAGCGAATTCACTTTCCATACAGCAGTTCATATATACTTTGTCTCATGTCATTGACCACAGTTTCCCACAATGCAACAGCTCCCCCCTTACTTCCTCCCCATAGTTACCTCTTCCCAGTGACCATCCCTCCATACTCTCCTGCCCCCTGAGCTGTCTCTCTGTGCATAAGCAGCCCTTCCTTCT